TTGTTAATACCTTATGACCACGTGCACTCAAAAATCCCTTTTGAAGGAAAGCCATCAGACATTTTTGGGCCTTTCGTTTCACACAAGGCTCCAAACTACTGAGATCCAACCTATGTATTGTTGGAAGCCAGCCCCAAATCATTCTCGATTATGAGCTTTGTCTGGAAAAAGCTTACTTTTCCTCCTCCAACTCTTTGCTTGACCATGGCTGCTAGTGCTGGTTGAATATGGTCAGCTTAGTGAGCCCAGATTCTTCTCAATTGGTCCAGCCACTTTGGTTGAATGAATGTTGACATATGGTTTGACCACTTTCCCTAGCCCATTGTTTTGTAAGGTAGAAGCACCATTTTCTTTGGTTTGGCATAAATTTCCACCAACTTTTATGAGTGTGTAGATTGTTTTTTTTTTAGTACATCGGAAATTAGTTATGAGCTCATAACTTTAATTTCAAATTAAAATTTTTATATTAATAAATATTAAGATTTTTTAGCTTATGCCTTAAGGACATATATTAAATTGTATTGAATGTATTATTTTGTAATAAATTTTTATAAAAAAATATATAAAACTAAGACATTATTTTAAACGCTAATATCACCTGGATAATTTTAATTAAGTAGTTGATAAATTTAAAGTTAATTTTTATTTCTTTATATAAATTAATTATAAAAAGATACAATTAATATTTTTTTAACATATACTCTTAAAATACAAATTGGACAAACCTCTAAGCACTAACTCAATTAATTTTTTTTTAGTCATAGATAATTTAATTAGTTTTAGTTTTATAAATACTTGCACACATTCTTCCACATAATTGTAGCCTATACAATTTCTTTTAAAATTTTTAATAACACGCGACAAAGAGTTCTAGTGTGAGAGTTTAAAAGCATGACAGTATTCAAGAAGAGTGCTAAATAATTTAGTGGGTTTTTTTTTTTTAAGTAAAAAATTTTGAATATGAGTAGCATATGACATGGATAAAATGAGAGAAAAGATGAAAAATAATTATTTTTTATTATACAATTAAAATTAAAAAAAAAAAGACTCACATAGAAAATACAAAAATACT